GATAAGGCACAGGGACTGCATCAAAACTGAGGAATTCCAGGTCTCTTTGTCCAAAATTTAGGCCAAATTAAAATTGGCATCCTGGGATGCCCTGCAGGTGACTGAACATCCTCACTGACTCTTCTAAGGGTTCAGAATCTGCTTCCAGGTCTCTTAGGTGTTTTTTGCCTTGCTCTGTTTGATAAATTGCATCATCATGAACACTCTATTCAAGGCTTTGAAATCAAATAAGCTCCTCTCTTCATCTTTCTGCAGTTTTTGAGTCTTGAAAGATAGCAGCATTCACAGAACCCACATGGCTTGATAGAGTCACTGTTCAGTGTTTTGGAAATGTATCTTTTGCCTGTTGGAAAGGAAATTGGCTACTTAAGATGCTTTTTTGTACATTTAAATTAACTTGAGCCATCAGACTGAGTAACTCCCACTGCTGTATTAACATCCAATTGTAACAGCAGAGATGAAGCAATGATTCACTTTTTGACCAGAATGTTGGCAGTTTAAGAGGGGGAAAAAAAGTAATGTATGTTGAAATAAAAAAGTCAAAGATGGGAGCCAGAAAATTATGACTGAGTACATAGCAGGAGATTTTATGAATATATAATGACAGAAGCAGGAGCCAAATTTCTAACAGGATTAGCTGTTGCTGTCTATCAGATCCAAAAATCTCAATCATTTTGTTTTAAATGACCTTCTGTAACTCATTCATACCAGAAATAGAGGGTGGAAGTGAGGCTGGGAGCTGGGGAAGCTGCTGTTTGGAACTGAGGCTGGATCAGAGATGATCCAGCCCCAGTGTTGTATGAAAAGCCCTGAAGTTCTGTGTAGCAGGTGAGCTCTGAACCTAACAGCAGTCTGCAGATGGCTGCTGGATTTTTCAAGATGTCCTTGTGATCCAGAAACTCATGAATTATGTCTTTCTGGACTGGCTAATGAATGGGTAGTTGAAGGGAAATATTTTTTTCCAATGCTGCTGCAGCTATGGCAGCTGGATCTGCTGTTTGTTTTATCACAGGCTTGAGAAGGACATCAGATTCACTGACCACTTGTCCAACCCTGGCTGTGGGATTGCATCTCAGTCTGGATAGCTGTGAGTAGGGGACAGTCTAGATGGTGAAGCTGCCTGAGGGATACAGGTCCTGACTCTTTGGTCTCCCCTGGTCAAGCAAGGAGCTTTTGGTGAGGCTCCTGGGTCTTTCACACCCTCCACTGTGTGACAGTGATCTTGGAAATCCCATGGTGGGTTGGCTGCTCTGGAAATGTTACCTCCCTTGGAGATGATCAAAGATCATCTATCTGCCCCTCTGGTCTGCTACAGACAGAGCCTTGGAAGCACAGCAGCTTCTAGATGTCCATCAGGTGTGTGGGATCTATAGGAACCTTAATTGCTTCAATATTTTAATGAACTCGAAGACTAAATAGGATGCATTTCATCTATTTCACCCATTGCATTGGTGTTCAATAATCAGGTCTCCTTGGACTTCTAGCATGAACTTACTTGGATGCCTCAAGCCCAGACCTTCAAAGATATTTAGGTAACATCTACTTTCAGCTGCATGAGACCTCACTATCAGCTTTTGCTTTCGTTCATAAAACAGGGTTATGTGCTTCATCACACATGGGTTATAAGCCTTTAAAACAACAGCAGTCACTTCTTACATCCATATATTGCCCCAGTGAGGCCAAAATATCAGCTAAACTGTGACCACTGCAGGAATAAAAATGACACTAACCTCATGGGGCCCCAAAATGAAGAACAACTTTTGTTAATCCTCTGTCTGCTGAACTTGTGGTTCCATTTGCTGAGAAAACATTGACTCCAAGTTCCACCCTGAGGAAAGACCTCAGGGAGGCTGGGAAATGACCTTGAAAAGCTTCTTAGATTTTCTAAGGATGGAGAAGAGGCCAAAGAGTAATCACAGCGTGGTTTACAATGGAGATTTCAACCTTCAGCTCTGTCTAGTCCCCTCATCACAGTGAATAATGGCAAGGCTCTGTAATTGGGAGGCTGCAGAGACTTTTCTTTGTCAGATATTTTAGGGGCAGCATAAAGAGCTGACTGCTCCTAGGGGGGCACGGTCAGTTCTTGAAATTTTCAACTCGGAAAGCTGAGCTGAATTAATTACAGTTTATGTTGCAAAGGAAAATAAGGCCTCTGATGTGCCTTATTTGCTTGATGTTCTTGTTCTTTTCAGCTGCCAGCCCTAGGTGGTTTCCCTTTCAGTAGCAGCTCCTTTGTTTTTGGTAGTTTCTTTATTAATTAGAAGGTCTGACACTTGCAGCCCAAGACATTTAGCAGCGTGGTTCAATTTTAATTAATCTCACAATAAAACTACTTGCATGAACTCGTAAAGGTCTTCTATAGCAGGAATAACACAGAACAATGCAAAAGGTGACACAGGACACTTACTATTCTGGTGTGTTTGTCAGGATGCCCACATAGCTTGGTGCAAGTTCATACTGCACAGCTGTGCTCTCTGAGACAGTGACACCAGCAAGGTGTGTTCCTGCACAACATGCAGACTGTAGCCTGTAGGGACTCAGTGCCCTAAAAACACTGAAAAGGAAGGATGTGTTCAAGAAATATGTAGATGAGGAACTTCAGGGCATGGTCTAGTGCCTGAGATTCTAGTTAGAATCATAGAATCATTAAGATTGGAAGGGACCTTAAAGATCACCAAGTTCCAACCCCCCTGACATGAGCACACTAGACCACTAGACCAGGTTGCACAAACCTCATCCAACCTGGCCTTAAAAACGTCCAGGGATGGGGCATCAACAACCTCCCTGGCAACCCATCCCAGTTCCTCACCACTCTTAGAGTGAAGAATTTCTTCCCAATATCTAACCTAAATCTCCCTCTCTCAATTTAAAACCATCACCCCTTGTCCTATCACTCTCTTTTCTGATGAAAAGCCCCTCCCCAGCTTTCCTGGAGCCCCTTCAGGCACTGGAAGCTGCTCTAAGGTCTCCCTGGAGCCTTCTCTTCTCCAGGCTCAACACCCCAACTCTCTCAGCTTGTCTTCATAGCAGAGCTGCTCCAGCCCTTTGGTCTGTATCTTTCTTGTGCTGAGGGCACCAGAACTGTACACAGCATTCTAGGTGGGGTCTGACCAGAGCAGAGCAGAGGGGCAGAATCCCCTCCCTGGCCCTGCTGGCCACACTTCTTTGGATGCAGCCCAGGATGCAGTTGCTCTCTGGGCTGTGACCCATACATAGTTTGTATGTTGTTGGGTTTTTGGGAGCCTGGTTTTGAGGATTTTTTGTGGTTTTTTTGGTGGTTTTTTTTTAGGTTGGACTCTGTGATCTCAGAGGACCTTTCCAACTATGACTATTCTGTGATTCTCTGATTCTTAATGCTTGTAGAAGTTTGATTGACTCACTCTCATTTTTGTTGCTCTGTGGTCTGTCCTGATGATGTTCTTATGCTCATGACAATAGATTCAGTTTGAGAAAGGTGTTTTTATAGGGGTTTTTGCTTTTGCCTTTTGTGTGTGTGTGTGTGTGTTGTTGTGTTTTATTTCTACATTCTCCCTTTTTCATTAAAAACTTTCAGTAGCCACAGTTGGGTTTTTTGGGTGACTTGACACAGGCATTAAATGAATCTCATGACATTTCTAAGCTACTGCCACCTGCCAGAGGTAAAAATACAGATTTTCAGCTGTTGCTTGTAGACTATCAGCTACCATGTGGGGTGTCTGTATAGGGGTCAGGAAGACAATTTCTGATACAAACAGAAAAGGTCTTCATAAATAGCTGCAGTTTTGCCTGATATATATTTATATATAAAAGCCAATTCCCAGTTTATTTACAGATGCAGTCAGAATGAATCTTCATCTGTCACTTCACAGCTCAAACTCTCTTGAATGTTGCAGCAAGTAAAAAATTGTCACCAGGATCCTTGTCATTTGTCATGGGTAACTGTTCTGCAGTTTATAGTTGGCAGTTCTCAGGGGTGTTTCATCAGGATAATACCACACTATATCATCTGAAGGGATAAACTCTCCCTGCTGACACGAGCTGGGGTGAAGGCACTGGCAATTGACTCTGTGTTAAAGAACTTCTCTGAAGCTTATTCAATGGAAAAGAGCCCATCAGGTCATTGGGCCCAAATTGGATGTTTGGCTTCAAAAGAAGTAAGGGGCTTACAAAGCCTAGCAGGAATCAAAAGTCTCTGGTCCATTAGACAGGAGGTCAGGATAGGCTGTTCTTTCCATCTTTGAAATCTCTGACTGAAATACTTTAATTAAAAGGGAAGAAAGAAAGAAACAAAACAAATCCCATGCAGCATTTGGGCAGTAGATGGGTGTTTCAGGTCCACCTGGAACACCTACAGAGATGCAAAGTCAGGGTGACAACAAGCTCATTCAATACCCAGGCTGGTAGACTTGTCCTCGTCCTGCTGGGAGCAGCCTCTCAAGGGACAGGACACTGGTGCTTGGAAAGATGTGTGGGCAATGGGGAGTGGAGCTAATGCTCTCCTGGACCAGTGATGGTGTGGGAGGTCATGGGAGGGAGACAAAAACATTGTGAGACCCAGTTCTCTCAGGAAGCTGGAAAGCAATAGGGTCTTTAACCAGAGTGTAGCAGAGCATGAGATCCAGTGAGTTTAACGTGCTGCAGAAGATCACACTGTCTCCAGGTACCAGGTCCCCAGTTTGTACACAGCCTGCCTGATTTGCTGATTCCTGGTGAAACTGTCCAAGGAGGTCATCTGGCAATGAAGTGTGAAAGGTCATGGGGAAGAGAGAAAGGCCACAGGGGAGGTGCTGATCTCAGCAAGGGTTGCAGTGAGTTGAGTGCAGATCTGGGCAGGAGTTGCACTAGACTGAGCTCTGGAAGAATCTGCAGCCACTTCCCTCTCTCTGCTCCAGGCCTGCCAAGCTCTGCAGGGCTTTCCCCCTGGGAAGAGAGAACAGAGGAGGTCACCCCTCCATCAAGTCATTATAGGTATTGCAGAGCCCTGTGAAAAGCCTGACAAGTTGTCCCCTTTCCTCCTGCAGCTCACTCGGGTGCCCGTGGAGTCATGTAGCCAGTACGAGACCTGCAGCGAGTGCTTGGGCTCAGGTGACCCTCACTGTGGATGGTGTGTTCTTCACAACACGTAAGTACCTGCTGGTGTTTGCCACCATCCCAGCCTTGTGTTCTCCTCAACCATCTTTCCTCAATGGCAAAATGCTTTCTCCGTGCCTGGCTGAGCCAATGAGTCTCCCAGGTACTTCCAGCAAGGTCTTGGAGACTTAGTGGGGGAGTCTTTGTTTAACTGAAGGTATTTTTTGGAAGACAAAGGAAGAGAAGGGTGGTAGACACTGGTCAGATCTCCTCAACCACCTGATCCACAGCTTGCTGACTGCACCAGGAAAGCACCTGTCCACCCTGATGTCCTGTGAATCAAACCCTCCCGCAGCCCTTCTCTGGGTGACAATTATTTTCTAGTCTCCTTTGCATAAGGAAGGTTGGTTCTGACTACCAACCCAGCTCAGATCCTTGTCTCAACACTTTCAGTTGTCCTCTGCTGACCTGAACTTCTCCTCCTTCTAACTTGCCATTATCTCCATCACCTTTAGAGAAGAATTAGGGCCCTGTAAGCACCATGGGGTTCACTCCAAGTTATATTTCAAGGGCACCTTAGGGTTTGTACGTTCACTGTGGGAAAATGTTGATCCTGAAGTTGAGCATTTGTTCTTTGTGTGGATCATCTTGTCTGTGCCAAATGAGGACAAATGACCCAAACAGCTCATTTTGTTTATCTGCCCGAGATGCTGGGCAAATGTATCTGTGTCCACATCCTTGCCTTCTATATAACAGACCAAGAAGACAACTCAGGTCACCATTTCATTATTCAACAGTACTGTCTTTCCTTGCAAGGAGCACTGGATCCAAGTGTCCTCAGGATTTGGAGATTAGTTCATTTGCTTTGTGTTCTGTAGGTTTTTAAATGATATTATTGATCTTGCAGTTTCATCTCTGTAGCCCTCACTGCCTGTGAGATCTGCCAAGGCTGTGGAGAGGGAGGTGCCAGGTTGGCTGAGCTCTTGGCTATGAGTGGCAAGGTGGTCTCATTTGCCAAGAACTTCTCAGCAGAGACAGTGGCTGGAAATTGGATTGGATCTGCCTAACCAAACACTTCCAGCTGAGCATGGCTTTCTGGGGTGCTGTCACTGCAAGTCTCATAGTGCCCTTGGCAGCAATGGAGGGGCTTTCTGGTGGACCATGCTGTTGCAGTGTGTCTGTCTTCTCCTGCTGAGTTCACCTCTGAATTCTTCCTGTTGCATTGCAAACTCTCCTGGTGATTCAGTTGAAGCCTTCTTCTTTGCTACCTCTCCTTTCTGGAACAGAGGAAAAGGGAACAAAATTTGTACCATGTTCCATCTTTCCTTGGATGCTCTTTAGCTTGTGTGACCTTCATCCAAAGCTACAACAGTCTGCTTTATTTCAGGTCAGATCTAGGTGACCCATCCCAAAACTTGTCCAAAAACTTGACTCAGGTTCTGGAATTGCTCCAGGGATCCTTGGTGAAGCAGTCCTGGGCGGTGGGCTGGTAGCCATGAACCCATGAAACTTCCACCCTGAGGATATTTCCATTTGATATGCAGTTCTTTAATATGCTTCCATATCATCTTACCCTGCATCCACCCTGTGGAGCATCGTGTGTTTTGCTCTCAATGGAGGGACAGCACAGACTAGGTGCAAGCAGCACCAGCAAGCCTGGATTTGGTTGTTAGTTGTACTACAGGAATGCTGGATAGGGAACACCTCTCCTGTGAGGAGACACTGAGAGAGCTGGGGTTGCTCAGCTTGGAGAACACTCCAGGGAGACCTTAGAACAGTCTTTCAGTACCTATAAAAAGATGGGGACAAACATTTTAGCATGGCTTGTTGTGATAGGACAAGGGGAATGGTTTAAAACTGGAAGAGGGGAGATTTGGCCTAGATATTAAGAAGAAACGTTTTACAATGTGGGTGGTGAAGCACTAGCACAGGTTGCCCAGAGAGGTGGTAGATGCCCTATCCCTAGAACCATTCAAGGTCTGGTTGGATGGAGCTCTGAGCAACCTGATCTAGTTGAAGATGTCCCTGCTCATGGTGGGGGGTTTGGATAAGATGACTTTTAATGGCCCCTACCAACCTGAACCATTCTATGATTCTGTGACATTTCATCTCCTTCCTTCCAGGGACAGTAGCAACAAGAAATCAATACAACCAGCAATAAATCCCCAAACCGAACAAAGGGGCAGAGACAACTGCAGACTGCCCAGCAGTTCACTGTGAGGGAGTGTCAGGAACGTGATGCCTGATGAGGAGTCAGGGTGGCATCACAGACTTGGGGAGAAAAAGAAACATCTTTGCAAATTTGGTTCCTGAAGGGGAATTTTGGCCTTGCAATCTGGATGATGGCACAATCCCCACATCCTTCTCCTTGTGGTCACTTAACCTCTGGTTCCTTGTCTGAAACAGAGATCTGGGACAGGGATCACATGGAGTCCAATGAAGGCCACACAAATGATGAAGAGACTGGAACACCTGCCTTGTGAGGAAAGGCTGAGAGACCTGGGGTTGTTTAGTCTAGAGAGGAGAAGACTGAGAGAGGATCTAATTAATGTCTATAAATAGATGAGGGCTGGGTGTCAAGAAGGCAGGGACAATCAATTTTTACTTGTGCCTTGGGGTAGGAAGAGGGGCAGTGGATTCAAACTGGAGCCCAGGAAGTTCTACCTCAACATGAGGAAGAACTTCTTTCCTGTGAGGGTGACAGAGCCCTGGAACAGGATGCCCAGAGAGGTTGTTGGAGTCTCTTTCTCTGGAGACCTTCCAGACCTGTCTGGATGCCTTTCTGAGTGATCTGTCCTAGTTGTTGTTTTTGGTCCTGCTCTGTCAAGAGGGTTGGACTCGATGATCTTCAGAGGTCCTTTCCAACCCTAAATATTCTGTGATTTCCAGTCCCAGATAGGCAGGGGTTTTCAATTCAGCCTCAGGTGTTCCTCTCTAGGTCCCATTTTCCTCAACCTTTTAGGTAACCCTGAAACCAGAGGAGCCAATTACACCCCTTTCAACAGGGTTTGCCTGTGTAGCATATTCAGGACAAGAGTGCCATAATGCTGACTCCCTTCTTAGAACTTTTTGCACATCAGAATCCCTTAAGATTCATTAACAGACTTTTCCTCAAGGGGGATGTGTCATTGATGACTCCTGCAGAAGGATCTCTGGGAAAATGTGCCATAAGCCCCAGTCCAGAGGGGTAACCCTTCCCTTATCCCTTCCAGTAAAGAATCCCAGGGGCTTTCCAGAGCATGGCTGAATCCACTACATGTGGGAGCAGTTCTATGGAAGGGTTTGACGTTGGACAGTGAAACAGGCTGCCCAGGGAGTTGGTGGAGTCACTATCCCTGGGTGTATTTAAAAGAAATATAGATCCAGTGTTTAGCAACATGATTTAAGCACTGAACAGGTAAATCAGGTTATGAGAGAGGGATTTATGTTATGGTTGGACTTGATGATCTTCAGGGTCCCTTCCAACCAGGATGATTCTATGGTTCTATGAGGCAGATGGGCTGTGCAAGACCTGGGTTAGAATGGTGCTGGAAACCAGATTGCCTCTGGGCAAAACCTTGCATTTCACTCATCTTTCTCTTCCAGTGTAAACCACCAAGAGAAACAGTGACAGACTGGGAGGCAGGTGAAAACTGCCAGAGGGGGTACAGCTTCTATCTTCTTGTCTCTTGCATGTGTGTCTCTCTCATTTTGGGATGTGCACTTCAAGGGTCGGTGCAGGCCCTTTTCCCCCAGACACTCATTCCCAAGTTATCCTCAGCTCCCACCACTTGAGGGGCCTGGGAACAGTTCTCCATCCACCCTCTTCCAGCAGAGCTGGGCTGTCTGCTCAGAGGGCGTCGTGCCAGGGCCCTGGAATCGATTTCCACGGCTCTGCTGTCCTGACCTTACACTGAGAAACTCGAGTCTGCTGAGAGAGAAAGAGGCAGACAGACCCACAGACGGCTGCAGGAGAAAGGAAGGGGGGGGGGAGATTGATTGGCTTCTGCCCTGAGAAGAGGAGAGCTGATATAGAGCAGGTCACCAGAGCTTTTCATCTCTGTATCTTTCCCCCCATCTTGTCCCCCCCGCTCCCTCTCCCCGCAGCAGCTCAGCTCCCTCCTGGGCTCTGCTCAAGCCTCTTTAGGCAGCGATGAATCATTTAGTTGGTGTAAATTGAAAATGTGGCTTTCAGTGGCTGCCCAGGTCTCCAGGGGGAAGGTGAGGGGTTGGGGTGGGAGTGGGGGGGAGGAACCAGGCTGAGAAGCTGATAGCTGGTGTGGCAGCCCTCGGTGCTTGGCCACAAGGTGAAAGCAATGTCACCAGGCTGAACGGGGGCTGGAGGGAGGGATAAAGAGCAGAGCAAAGTTTTCTGCAAGCATGAAATGAATTGCAGCTTGCTTCTGTGTCAGATGCAGCAGTGTCCAAAGGTGTCATCCAAAATCTAAGCATCCCTCCAAAACCCCTGGCAAGCTTCTTCTGTCTCCATCCATATCCACACTATTACCCTCCTCTACCTCGTTTTCCCCTCACATGCAGAGGGGAAGTGATAAGAGATGCTCTTTGCTCCCAGAGGAGGGATAAACTCTTGTGCAGCTGAATGAATCCTCACTATCCCTGCCTGGCCCATCACCAGTTCCAGAGCAGACACTGATCCATGTGCACATGATTACCACACAAGTTTTCAGCCCTGCATTATATCTCTGGGTTGTGCTTAACAGCCCAGCTACCAGCAGAATGTGTATTTGGGGCAGAAGAGCAGCAGTATCACAACAGAGACAGGCAGCACTTATGAAGGGGAACTATTCTGACATTGCCAGATGCAGAAAGGACCTGTCCTAGGCTCTGTTATGTCAGCTGCCACTTAGATTGTATCTGTGCTGCCTCATTGCATTGTCATGTAGCCTCTGTCCAATTCTGGGATGAATGGTTGAACATACACAAGCTGTCCTTGAGGGAGGATGTAGCCCCTGGGCAGCAGCCTCCTTCTGTTTCTGGGATCTGCCCTTGCTCTTGTGCAGATTCCTTGGCTGGCAGGTCAGAAGTTGCTGTCACAGAGGCAAAATAGTCCCA